TAGAAGAACAAAGAAAACAAATGTAATAGACCTAAAGCGACTTCATCTCAAGGCTGAAAGACTAGAATTCTCACTGAGATGTCTTTCCAAAGTAAGCCCAGTGTCACAATGGTAAATGAAGTACTTGCTCTCTTCTGTGCTAGCAACAATTTTAAGAAATGAATATAATCCCCCTCTGGCTGGTATGTTGGTGGAGATATTTGTGACTGATCCAATCTGAAGCTTCTTTAGTTCCCGCTGAATGCAGAGCCTGACACAGGGCTCGATCTCACGACTCTGAGATCATGACCTGAGTCAAAATCAAAAGTCAGATGCTTAACCAACTGAGCCACCCAGGCACTCCATTTTTAAAGCTTTTTAAATCTGCAGTACAGGGGCGCCTGGGTGGCTCAAGGGATTCTTTGCCTTGGAAGGCAAAGCAGTTACAAAAAGACACAAGGGCGGGAATGATTCTGGGATTATAAATACATTTAGAAGAAGAGATAACATGAGGAAGGGGGTGAGGATAATAGGAACAATAGACACATGCCACCTCTTGTGCAGGCCTCAGCAACTACTAGGACATGGCACTTAACCACAGTGCTTCATAAATGCCTCCCTCTGTTTCCAAAGGGATGATGAAAATTAAAATGGCATTCTGCCTTACGGTTATTTGCTTTCTACATTCTAGCAGGTGGTCTAGGCTCAAAAGCAGGCAGACAGCAGTGTCAGGGGCAGCCACACCTTTACCCTGCTTGTGAACATCTTTATGCAAAAACAGATGCTGAAGGCTTCAGGACAGACCTTCTGACAGCAGGTTTCTGGATGTCCTGTTTGTGCATTCTGATAAACACAGGGACCCTGCAGTCTCAATCCTGGCTATAGAGAGAGATGAATGGCAGGAGAAGATGCCTGCCTGGGTAGATGAGTCATTAATCCAGACCACAAAAGAATAAAAATTTAACCTGATGGTGACCAAACGTCAAAGCTAACCTCCCTAGAGAGAAATCTAGACAGTCTTCTTCCACAGCAAATTCAGGGAGCAAGAGCTCAAATGTGGTTCTACAACATTCATAAGGTTTTTATTTTATTTATTCATTTTTTTTTAAGATTTTATTTATTTTTTATCTGACAGGCAGAGATCACAAGTAGGCAGAGAGGCAGGCAGAGAGAGAGGAGGAAGCAGGCTCCCTGCTGAGCAGAGAGCCCGATGCAGGGCTCGATCCCAGGACCCTGGGATCATGACCTGAGCCGAAGGCAGAAGCTTTAACCCACTGAGCCACCCAGGCGCCCCTTTATTTATTCATTTTTAAAGATCTATTTATTTATTTGAGAGAGAGAAAGAGTGCATGTGGTGGTGGGGGCAGAGAGAGAGTCAAGCAGACTCCCCACTAAGTGCAGAGCCTGACACAGGGCTTGATTTTACAACCCTGAGATTAAAACCTGAGCCGAAATCAAGAGCAGATGCTTAGCCAACTGAGCCACCCAGGCACTCCATTTTAAAAGGTTTTTAAGTCTGCAGGATGGGGTGCCTGGGTGACTCAGTCAGTTAAGCATCTGCCCTTGGCTTGGGTCCTGGGATCGAGCTCCACACTGGGCTCCCTGCTCAGAGGGAAGCCTGCTTCTCCCTCTATTGCTCCCCCTGCTTCTACTCTCTCGCTCTGTCAAATAAATAAGCAAAATCTTTAAATAAATAAATAAATAAACCAAATAAATAAATAAATAGATCTGTAGGACAATAAAAGCCAGACACTGGGCGCCTGGGTGGCTCAGTCAGTTAAGCGGCTGCCTTCAGCTCAGGTCATGATCCCAGGGTCCTGGGATCGAGTCCCACATCGAGCTCCCTGCTCAGCAGAGAGTCTGCTTCTCCCTCTCCCTCTGCCTGCCGCTCTGCCTACTTATGCTCTCTATCTTTCTATCAAATAAATAAATAAAATATTTTTAAAAATAAATAAATAAAAGCCAGACATTAAATATGTTTGCGCCTGTTCTCGAATCTCAGACATGTATGATTTTGTCTCTGTATCCTCATTTAAAAATACACTACATGGGGCGCCTGAGTGGCTCAGTGGGTTAAGCCTCTGCCTTCGGCTCAGGTCATGATCTCAGGGTCCTGGGATCGAGCCCCACATAGGGCTCTTTGCTCAGTGGGGAGCCTGCTTTCCTCTCTCTCTCTGCCTGCCTCTCTGCCCACTTGTGATCTCACTCTGTCAAATAAATAAATAAAATCTTTAAAAAAAAAAAAGTAAAAATATACTACAGTGAAGTAAATATCTTATTAGGATATTATAAGGATTAAACAAGATTTTAAATATATAAATATATATAAAATATATTAATGTATTTATATATACTACAAATGTTTTGTATGTTATAAATTAGTATACACATGAAAAATATTATTATAGCTGATATATTTCATTCAACAGATGATGGAAAAGAACCAAAAAAGATGGAATCTGGTGACACTATACACCTGGATGGGACAAGGCAGAGAATGGCAAAATGATCCCTGGCTTAGCAAATGGGAAGAGAGCTGAAGATGTTGAAGCGGGACTGCAAAGGCAGAAGCGTGGTGTATTATGAAGGCAAGGAAACCAGTAGACCAGTCTCTCTTAATGGCACCCTAAGCATCAGGAAGATTCCAGGCCCTGTCTAACTCACCTGCCTCTCTGTACCTGAAAGAACCATGAATTATGACTGTACAAGCTTCTGATTTTCCTTCTGGTTATCAAAGCTAAGGAAAAGGATTGGGGCAGAGAAATTAAAACGGGCTAGTACATTCCCTCATCTTTCACTCATTTGTGCCTTAAAGCACCTAGACAGTAAGAGAAGAGGAGCAACCACAAGCAGCACTCAGTTTACAACAGGAAGGAGGAGGGCAGGGAAAGAGACAGAGAAAGAATGAACAGACAGTAACTCAGCATCAACCAGCTAGCACCTTCCTTCACTGGGAGACTTGAACTACTTACTAATATTGAAGTGACTAATCCACAGGTGCTACCAAAAACAAGACTGCAGTCTGCATCAGCCCCAAAAGAAAAGCACCCTGTGAGGGATTTTCGGAGGGACATGAGAGAAATCAGCCCATTGTTACGAACCAGGGAGCCACAGAAGACCCTTAGGGAGAAACAATGGTTAAGTCACTGCAGGAAAGGTGAAGAAGGCAATGTAAATTCAGGTCATGCTGAAGCCAGGGGGGAGGTGAGAGCACAGGTGGGCTGTGGGGAGCACAAGGAGGAGGCAGTCTGACACAGGAAAATCAAGGGGGAAGGAAGGGGAGAGGGAGGAGGTGGTAGCAGAAGAAAGAGAAGGTAAGATGAGAACAGAACATTTTAAACTAACCCAGAACTCCATTGTGAAGGACAAGTCACGAGGCAAGATACAGCTCAAAGGCATCAGTGCCACGTTTCACCAGTGCAAAGAGATAACACAGCCTTCCAAATGTGCATGGAGGGAGGCTATGCAATCTGCATGGACTCCCAGAGCTCCCCGGGATTACCGAGGCTTTTCGGCGGTACTAAGTCCCAGCAGCCTTAGTATGTACTTGAAACTGCTTCCCTGAACAGATCCCAGTGCTGGAAAAATAATCATAACCTGCTGGGGAACACATTTCACTCCTGGTGGGTGCCTGGCTAAGGGAGTGCAGACTCCCTTTCCCCTCACCACCAGTATATGCTCCCACCTTACCCCAGAGTGGACTGGAGGGTAAATGACACTGGCGGGGAGCCAGGGGGCAGCCGGTGAGAGAGGACCAGCACCCCTGCTCCACATTCCACTCCAGCTGCTTCAGGGCATCCCTGCATTTCTTTCACGTTTACATCTTCCCCAGACAAATGAACCGCCCATACAGTCTGCCTTCTGCTTCCAAGTACACAATTGCTAGTGTGTTTAAGAATCATATCAGGAAGGCAAATTGTATAAAGGTTGTTTCCACCTTCTTAGTCGTCTTTGGCAGAGAGAGTTCTCCAACGCATCTTAAAGCTTTATTGCAAGGTGGCTCTTGAGGAACTATCCATTCAGCTCACGGCAACAGAAGGTCGAGAGGTAGGCAAGAACCCTTAACATCCCAGACCTGACCCAGACTATGTCAAGATGGAGAGGGGAAAAAAGGAAAATGATTGACAGGCTGTCGTATTCCAATACAAAAGGAGAAAAAAAATAAGTCTTAACCACCTCTCTCTCTCTCACTCATTTTGCATGTTTGAGAATATCAAATATAGGAATCCAAACAAGAGCCAAATGTCCAATTTGATACAAGCCAGGAAAGCTTTCAGCATAGAAAGAAATAGAATGAATGGCTAGAAAGGTCAGGAGCAGCAGGTCAGAGAATTCAAACACAGCAGTGAGATGGAGGTGTTTAATCCTGTGTACGGGGCTGACCCTGCTCCTTTAGCTCAACCCCACCCTCCACTCAACCACTCAAAAGCCCCAGAAGAGCAAGGAATCACCTCTCAAGCCACCACATTAATCTGACAGGCAACTTTCAAAGGATCCTTACAGGAGAGATGGGGAGGGAGCAAGTTTAGGCAACAGAGCAGGATCTCTAAGAATCCACGTGATTCAAGGGTACTAAAAGGAACTGTCCTTGGGGAAATCTGGGTATTCTCATTATTTCTAATCTCTATACCTACTCTGCTGAAGAGAAAAAATACCAACCATCCTGTCTCCCTGATGCTGTGAAGACAGGCTATAAGAAGCACTTCCACAGCCACTGTTCATGCAAAAGGGATAGGAAAGCGTTGCTTTCATACGGAGCGGCAGCCATCTTCTCCAGCGTGGGCTGGGGCCAATGGTCTGTCTCTTACCACAGGCTCTGGTGAGTCAGCAGCACAACTGCCTGAGGTGGGGGGGCCCTGAGCCTTTTAACCCCCTTTCCCTCACCCCATCCTATTACTCATAAATAATAACTTAGGGGGTTGAAGCAAAAATGTCAACCACCGCTGCTTGGACGGTGGTCAACTTGGAAGCACACACAGCTTGGGAGGACAGGGAAGAAAGCAAGCTGAGGGGGTACTTACTCAAAGTCCTCAAACTCCAAGTCGGTTCCCTCTACTGATGGGCCCTGGTTGTCTGAGGAAGAGGAGGTGGTGGAAGAACGGAGACGGTTCTGCTGATAGCGCATGGAGCGCTGGCGAATACTGTCTCTCCGTGAGAGATACTGGATCATCCTCTGGGCGTAGTAGGCAGCAGGAGATAATCTGAGAGAGACAGAGATGGACAAACACAAACTAGCACTAATGCGGGGAATACTGTGAAAGACAGTAAATCCAGCTCTCCCATGGTATCTCCCTGCTGAGGCGAACTCCGGAGACATGAAAAATAAAGGGCATTTAAGTCACCAGGAGGTCTGTACTACACGATATGCTTATCAGACTACCACCAGCGCTTCTGTTCGAGGGGAAGGCAAAGAGGCTGTTGAATCCGTCATCACCTGCTCAACAGCTGTCCCCTCCTAAGGGTTTAACACTGCACCTTCCTTTTCAGTTTCTGAAGGGACCCCTTGTAGCTTTCTCAGGGTTCCCTTCACAGAGATTCACGGCCGTCTTCAATCATCCATACTCAAAATATAAGAAACGAAAAGGGACCATAGCAATCGTCCACAGGCCAGCTCTTCTTTCATTTTATACAGGAGAAAAGAGGCCAGGAGATGGCACACCGGGCATGACCCAAGAAGGCACCATCTTCACCAGGACGTCCTTCTCCAACAAATCCACACGGCTCCAAATTTGTCCTAGCTCCCTACAATGAGCTCTCTGAACCTCTCAGATCTATGGATTATTCACAGATATTTGTAACACAGAGAAAATAGTCAGGATCAAAAAAGAGAGTAAAATACACTCAGGAAAACAAAACCTAACAGGGAAAAAAAAAGATTTTTCTATTTCTAACAACAGAGCATCAGAGGCTACATGGGAACTTAGCAATGCAGAAGGCAGGTTACTCCTTTTTCTTCTCCCTAACCATGGCTATTCTCAGTGGATAATTAGTCTAGACCTCTGTCTTTCCATATGTGGCTTAGTGTCTTCATACTCCATGAAAACGTCTAGTGTCCCATACAATTCACCACATTCCCTTCTTTCTCAAGTTTTTCCTCCATCTTTCAGAACATCGCTACATACTAAGTGAGAGAAGAACAATAATAGAAAAACGGTTTATATATAATATTAAGTGGATTACTAAGAAATTTCCAGGCTTAAAACTTGCTTGAGGCACACACTTTTAACTCAACAATCCCACTAGGAATTTTATCATATGGAATTAGTGGAAAAACTGGGAAACATCCCAAATGCCCACCAACAGATTAAATAAACTGTATCTGTACAAAGAAACACTAGGTAGCTATTAAAAAGAGTAAGTCATCCCTATATACACACAAGAAAAACCCTCTAACCCAAAAATTTTAGTGGGAGAAAAACTGAAAGAATAGTATGCATATACTAATATATATATAAAAACATATATTTTTTCAATTAGAACAAAAAAATTAAAAGGAAACAATCCTAGTGAGGATTCCTGGGAATCTTAACTTCTATAATATTTGAATATAAAAGGAAAAAAAAATCTATCTTTTTTTTTTTTTTAATGGAAATCTGGAAAAACTGATTGAGAATGGAAATAGTAACAGTTACATCCAATGATGGGAATAGTATTTACAAAATCTTGCTGCCTGACTTTTCATTACCCCTGGACAAAGTTTCTGGGAAAATCTCAGTAAATCTACTGACTCAGACCAAAGAGCTTCTGTGGTCACTTGCTGTAGGAGCTGAGACTATCTCTGAAATGCCAGTCATCAGAGGTGGTATCCTTCTGGCTAACTGCCAAATGGAATTCCCAAGCAGGCCAAAGGACAATCTTTGGAACTCAGAAAGTCCTTGTTATAGAACAATATACTGCATTTGGCATCCCTGAATCCAAATTATACAGCAGGTGGGCAGGGGATGCACAGATGCCTTGGCCGAGATCATCAGAGTACAAGAATCATTTCTTAAAAGTCTCAACATGTGGATCTTTCATGATCCACTGGCCCCTGTTGACCTACATTTTGCAAGGATGAATCAAGAATCCTACATTTTCAAGAGACAAAAGTCAGCACTCTTGAGTTATTCCTGTATCTACTAAATATACAGAAATCTTCCAGAAGTCAACCATTGATGGTTAAATTCTCAAGTCAATCAGACTAGAAAGAATGTAAAAAACGTTTCAAGAGCAGAATGAAGATTGTTTTTTGGAAATGATTCCGAAAAGTGACTATATGTACATTCATTCCTCAGTCGATAGCCCACCCTAACTAATGGGAAAATTATATTATTGGTGACAGAAGTAGAAAGAATGTTGATGCAGACAATAATAAAGACTGCCCTTTTATGTAAGGGCATAATTTCAGCACTAGGTAACCCCAACTGTTTAATTTCATCATAGGATAGGAATTCCCTAAGCTACAAAACTATGCATCAATGGTAAAGAAAAAAGGATTCCTGGTACAATTATCAAACACAAGTATACCCTAGCCTCATCTTTTTAGGTATCCAGAGGGAAACTAAAGATCTGAATGCTGAAATGTCCCATAAAGGCTTTGACCTATATGTATTATGTATGGTGACATCTAAGAGGAAAAAGAAATTAAACAACCAGTAATGAGTTAGCAATCATCCTCCTACTGGAGAGCTGGATAATCACCAAATTCTGGTGTCCCAAGTAAAAATTTTAAATGTTTAAATATATCCACAAGTTTTCTTCAAGGAAGAATACCTTCTCCTCCAAAGAAAACTGTGTGTTCAGAGGGGAAAATGTAAAAATAGCAACACCACAAAGTATGACACTTTCTGTGATAAAGAGATATGAGTGGGAGTAAATAAAAGATTTATTACATGAAAGGAGGACAAATAATGGTCTTTAAGGATCACTGTTAAACGTTGTCAGGTTAAAAATTCTGGGGATGAGGGGCGCCTGGGTGGCTCAGTGGATTAAAGCCTCTGTCTTAGGCTCGGGTCATGATCCCAGGGTCCTGGAATCGAGCCCCAAGTTGGGCTCGCTGCTTGGCGGGGAGCCTGCTCCCCCACCACCCTCTGCCTGCCTCTCTGCCTACTTGTGATCTCTGTCTGTCCAATAAATAAATAAAATCTTAAAAAAAAAAAAATTCTGGGGATGAGATTCCTATTGCTGTCCTAAAAAACTCTTATAGCAAGAAATTCTCTTCTCAGTGTTTCAGAGTAATCAGATTGATGCATAAAATCTCCCTCTCTTACTCTCGGCTCTGCTTTCAAGTGTGATCAGAGACTAACATAAACTTCCTTGGTTCGGTCATCGCCATCTCAGCTGCCTCCCTGTATTCTCCCTGATTCTGGATTCGCCATTTTGGGGTTATGGAAAAAGAAGTAAGAAAGTGATGGGGGAATCCTTTCATTAGTCTCTCAGAAAGAATGCTCAGTATCATGACGTAACTGTGGCAACAACAAAATCACTCAATATCCCTAGCATCAACCACACTGGTCTACGGGTCTTTCCAGACTTGAAATTCTTAATCTAAAGCAAAGCTCATTTAGCTTTATCTAACCTGTATTTGTTAACTTGCCAACCTCACAATTAAAATTATTCTTTCTTTTGGCAAAGTCTCACCATTTGCTCCGGTATTACTTAAATAATGTGAAGGTTATCCCCTACTTAGGTCATTAACAAAATCAGTAAGTCTGGCTGTGACAACACCAAAGGGCTGCTCACTATAAATAAATGTTACACATCAACTCAACACCTCATCCTGGGTCCTCAGTCACCAGTATCAGGTAAGGGTGGGCCCTGAACTTGTCTAAGTGCTTTTGTAACCGCTTTGAGAACTCTTCAAATATCTTCTGATTGGTGTAAGGTAAACACTTTATTAAAATGCCAACTTATTTTATTTAGTTACCCTTTTGTCAGTCATCTCTTCCTTTAGGTCACATCCAAAAACTGAACATCTGAATGAGCTTGACTTCTACCTTTCGATAGTCTAAATTTTCTCTCAAATGAGAGCAACTAGAATTATTTGTTAGCTGGTTAGTTTTAATTTGTAAGTAATTTCCCTATTAATAACTACTTGTTTCCCTTTTGACTGTCCATCTGAATGGCAACAGCCTCCCTGATCAGCAAAAATGGCATATCCTGTGACTCTGCCAGTGGCCTCCTCAGGTCCCTCCTCTAAGTGCCCCACTTACAGAAATGAGCCCCAAAGGACAAGAGCTCAGTCACAACCCTCTGCCACCAGAGGTTCTGTTCACTTACCTGCAACACTTCCCCATCACCTGAACCACCTGTCTCAAAACTGTAACTGAAGAGTAAAAGAGCACCAGGACCAGAGAGGCACAGAATGGGGCTTCCAACAGCTTGGCAACCCCAAGGGCAGCCCCTCCCTCCCACCTAGTGCCATTTCTCACTTTGGCCTTACCTCGCTGGGTCTGGGTAAATTGGGTGCTCTCTGGATCCTGCTCCATCATAACGGGATAATGAAATGAGGGAAGACTCCAGCAGCCTCCTAGCAGAGATTAAAAAAATGGCAATAATCCCTGTCAATTACCAACTCAGAGGTCATTCATACGGGAAAAATAGGGGGAGAAATAAATAATATCCCCCTTTGGAGCTAGCTAATACCTGCTATCTGGGATCATACCCTTCCTACAAACTAAGTACTTAAAGAGACAAATAAATGAGCTACAGCGCTCCCACACTGGACATGGCCACTGTATTATGCTGAATACTGCTCTTCTGTGAGAAATGAACAACTGCTTCAGAGACATGATCTTATTCCTATTTGCAGTATCTCTGGCAAATAGGACAAAAAGGAGGTTGGGATCAACACAGGAGGGAAAAATTAGGCATACCCAGAGATATTCATGTAGTGCCAACATTTATCTTGGTGTTCAGTTTCTCCACGTTATCCTAATCCATATCCCCTTATATTCTACTCATTCTGCTCTGCCCACACCCTTTCTGTGAGAAGAAGTACTCCTCAGGCTCGCTTACCTGACAAAAATCTTTAATTACATAACCTAGCCCAATCATAAATTCAACTGATCACATGTCGATACACCCACATTTTATTGAGCACTTTCTTGGTGCCAGGCAAATACTAAGCACATCATATATATTTTGTTACTTCAAACTCACCTATCTCTGCAAGGTAGGCATTATTATACAAACATGAGAACACTGGGCCTAAAAGTTAAGTATATGGCACTGTGCACAGGGCTATTAAGTGACAGCACCAGGACTCCAGAGAAGGTCAACTCCGAAATGCTTCAAACCACGATGCATGTAGGCAAAAAGTGCACGTTTCCACTGTGAGACCAAGCTCAGTATTGCCGGCTCTTCCTGTGTTTTAAGGGAAGCCAGAAATCTGGACTTTTCCATGAAATCTCCTGACTGATAAATTTTAGCTAAAATGTTTTTCCCCCCTTTGTACAGGACCAATTAAAACACATCTGATAAATGTGGCCCAGGGACCCCCAAGTTTGCCATGTCTGCCACACTGCTTCCCAACTCAAATGTGCCTTGGCAGCCAATCAAAATCCTGCCACAGAACACGTTTCAGAGGAAATGGTCTCAAAAAGAAATGCATATTGTTCCTTTCCAGCAGCATCTTGCCTGGCTCTCCCGGGAACAGGTCTCCGGCTCCCTGCCAGACTCTTCTTTAAAGCAGATCTGTAGGATAAGGACAGCAGCTACCAATCTTTTCCAATTGAGTTAATTCAATTCACTGTTATTAAAACCAGCTGGCTTTAGGTATAGTCATGTGCAGTCACTTTATCCCAGCAACTGGCTCACCAAAGCATTTCCCCCAACAGCCTGGGGAAGAGATACAGCAGAGGTCCTGTCAAGCTGTCTTGCTACCTTTCCTGCCCAGGACAACCAACTGTTAAATGATGCTTTCTATCTAAACAAGGCCTAATACCTCCCCCCACAATTCATTTTAAGCAGTCCTACCACTGAAGGAAGAGAATATTACAATGTAACCAAGAGGAAGAGAAGAAAGCAATAAAATACATCTCTCTGGTCTGGGATCTTCAATGATATCACTGTCGACAGCAGCAGAAATGCTGTTTCATCAATTCTAAGAGATACCCTCCCATTTTAGCATGTCTGACACTGGGATGCATCTAATAATTGTATGAAACGTTTATTTTTTTTAAAGATTTTATTTATTTGAGAGAGAGAGAAAGCAGGAGTGGGTGAGGGGCAGTGGGAGAGGGAGAAGCAGACTCGCCACTGAGCAGGGAGCCCGACACAGGGCTGAATTCCAGGACCCTGAGATCATGACCTGAGCCCAAGGCACATGCTTAACCGACTGAGCCAACCGGGCATCCCTGACACAGTTAAACTGGAAGGATTTTTTTTTTTTTCCTTTCATTAGGGGCACATAAAATAATGGCATGTCTTTGAGTCTTGAACTACAAAATGTTTGTGAGAGGAAGGGGTAGTGAGAGGTTCCTAGACTAGGAAAAGAAGAAAAGTGAAATTTTGAGAAGAGTATATATTCGGGACATTTATGCCATCTTAGATAAATACTTGTCCACTACTAATTAATTAGTTCTATGGAATTGGGAAGGAGTTGAATGGAAGCAAGATCTGGGAGCAACTGACTTCCCTGAACACCCAGAAGTCCCTCCATCCCAAAGGGCTCATGGAGTTTTTAGTCCTAAGTATAGCTGAGCCCCATCAGGTTATCCTCCAAATGGCTGCTTAGTAAACAGAAGCCCTTTGGCAAGGAGCATCCTACAGAGTAACAAACATGTATCTTTCTTAAGTACTTCTGTCTGGAGAATGATGCTAAGTTAGGAAGCCAAAGCCCGTATTACCCCCTACTACTATGCTAAGGCAGTGTCCGTATTCAGAGAGATGAGATGACTTTTTAAGGATCCTGTAAAGGAGATTCTTGAACTAGAATAGTCTGGATTAGATAATCTCAATTTAAATGATTCCATTTTATACTCCTGCAAAGTCTACTTCCCACCCTAACTTCCTATCTTAATTAGAAAGACTTCTTTAAATTAGGGTAAAGCCAAAATGTTAAGCTTTGTCTCTGGGGAGTCCCTGATGAGGTTCTTTTGGAACATGCATCCCTTGTGCCTACTTACTACAAAATCTGCTGGCACCATTTAGGCTCCCCAGGCAATACAGTGGACTGGCAAGCCATATATATGGCATTTTAACTGCTAATACACAAAATCAGGAGAGCCAATTACTATGAATAGCACCCTCACACACCACTGATTAAACACTGAGTTCTCTTCAGTTAGGACGCAAGTACACCCTGAAGGACTAAAAAAGACTTCTCCAATTGGTGTTGGACACCAAAAGAACTAGAGCTACCAGATGAGTAAATCTCACCACCACTCCTAGGAACTTCAAACAAAGATCTTTTTCTCCTACAGTTAGCTTCCTGCAAACAGCCATCACTGGAGAAATGACATAAGAAAATGGGATGAGATGCCAGCTGTGTGCCTTCTTCTCTGGCCACCACAAATGTGACTTGCCTTAACCATCTATCATGCAACCCAATAATGCGAAATCAGGTAGGGCTTAGGAGGGGGCTCAGACAAGCTTGTTCAGGCTTGAAGCTACCATTTCATTCTGCCTGTAATCACAATTTTGAAGAGTCACTGAAGCCCCTGACAGGAAAAAAACACACACGAAAAAACCCTCTTTCTTTGCAAGTTTGCCTGGTTCATTCTCTGTACCAGTGGCGTCCAACTGAGATACACAGGTGTTGGTGTTATTCTGACCCACTGGAGAACAGAAAGAAATATCAAAACTTTTTATTTATGTATAAACCATAATCTGTAACACACACACACACACACACACACGCAAATTGCTCAAAAGCCTTTTACTAATAGAAGTATTTTTTTTTAAAGTCTGAAGACCACTGCTCTGTCAAACTATATCCTACTTTTAAGAAAATCCAACTTCTGAAAGAATGTAATAAACACAAATATATAAATATAAAAACCATACATTTAAAAGAATAAGTACAAGTACATAAATATAAAAACCATAAATATGTAAAAGCATAACCATACTCATACATAGAGCAAAAGAGAGAGAACAATAACACAAATGTGGTAAAATGCTAATATTTAGGGAATGTGGGTGAAGAGTATAAGGGAATTCTTTGCACTATTTTTGCAACTTTTCTGCCAGTCTGAAATTATTTCAAAATTAGAAACATTCAAAAAAATTAAAAACATTCGATATGCAAAACTGAAAAGTAAACCACTGAAAACTAAAAGGAAAACTCTTCATTTTCAAAAGAATTACTCACTTCTTAAAAAGGATTTCTTTTTTTTTTTTAAGATTTTATTTATTTATTTGACAGACAGAGATCACAAGTAGACAGAGAGGCAGGCAGAGAGAGAGAGGGAAGCAGGCTCCCTGATGAGCAGAGAGCCCGATGCGGGACTCGATCCCAGGACCCTGAGATCATGACCTGAGCCGAAGGCAGCGGCTTAACCCACTGAGCCACCCAGGCGCCCTTAAAAAGGATTTCTTAAAATAGTAAGTTGCCCTAATGCCCTATGGCAGGTTTGGTAAACTAGAGGCCCCAAGCTAGCTGCCTGTTTTTATAAATAAAGTTTTATTTAAACATGGCCATAATCCACGCATTTATATATTGTCTGTGGCTGTTTTGGAGCTGGCAAGGCAGAGTTAATCCTGACAGGAACATGCTTAAAATACTAACTACCTGCTCCTTTACAGAAAAAAATCTGCCCACCCCCTGCTCTTAAAATATTTGCTTACATAAAATCCCTTGAAAGATAAAGTGAAGTCACTAAGAAATGGAACAGAAAAACATGAAATCAAAGTATTATACACTAAAGTCATCAAAAATTAATATTAAACCCTGATAAAATCATTACTCAACAGAGACACACTTCAAGCTGTAAAATTCCTAACATTTTAAATGACTACAGCTATTTCTTCCTTTCCTGATTAATACTCTGATTATGCGCAAGTGGGTTCCCTAGTTCCACTATATCCTTTGATGACTAGGAAAACAATAAAAAAAAAAATAGTGGAAGAAAGCTGTGGAAAAGAACAAAGCTATCAAGGCAGATGAGATGGGTCACCTGAACGAAAAGAACTTTCATTTCAAATCCAACAGATATCGGAGTTGAGAAACAGAAAGTATGGTACCGGGGCGCCTGGGTGGCTCAGTGGGTTAAGCCTCTGCCTTCGGCTCAGGTCATGATCCCAGGGTCCTGGGACAGAGCCCCACATTGGGCTCTCTGCTCAGCGGGGAGCCTGCTTCCCCCGCCCCTCTCTGCCTACCTCTCTGTCTACTTGTGAACTCTGTCTGTCAAATAAATAAATAAAATCTTTAAAAAAAAAAAAGAAAGTATGGTACCTTTATACATGTCTAGACAGAATGAATAAGCCAGTGGCAACTCTTTCTTACTCAACAATTATATCCTGAAAATATTCTTTTAACTAGTTGTTAGATCACAGACAAAAATCAATATCCTAAAGCAAATAAAT